TTGCATCTCCTTACGTTGCTCCACTGTCTTGCGGATCAGATCTTTAGGTCGAAGGCTCCAAGTGTGGTCCCTTTAAAAAACCACCTGCTTCGGTTTGGGCACCCGGGCAGTATCATAGCTCTCACAAAAATCAAATAAGATATGTGTGGCGCATATGTATCTGATGCCCCCTTTTACCAATATCTATGTGTTCAAATGAATTAATCAATCATTCAAATTTATATCCAACTAAAAGAAATCGTTCTAAACTACATTTAGGAGCATTTAGTGTTCGAAACTTATGTCAAATTTTATTACAGACTTCCCTAGCTAGGACTCTAGAATATCGCGCTATCGACGTGTGTTGTATCTCCGATAAATGCATACAGATTTCGTGTGGTAATTCATCTGAACACAACTCAATCAGGGCGATTTACCCTGTGTGTATGGAGACCACATTGGTCCTTCCTGTTACTTCGCCGGTGTAGGTACAGCACTAGGTTCAAAAGCAGAACAGGTCCTGGGTCGGATTCTGGTAGACAGTCGCTTGTGCGTTGTCCAACTAAACAAGATAACAAAACTCGGAAAGATATGGATACGTCGTTGTCTCTTCATTGCCTATCCCTACGTTTTCACAAATTGTATTTCAGATGAATTTTAAAAAATGAACGTTCATAGAAGGCTTTTCATCCTTTAAAAAGCTAGACACTCAGATATAGTACTCGTAGCAGGTGATTTTATTGTCTATGTGGGTGATTCTTTGCAAACTGAAAGGTACTTGCATGGGTATCACATTGCACCAGCTCAACTAATAAAGGCCCACAAATGCCCTGGTATGGCCGAGAGTGGGGGGTCTGCTCCCCCTCTCGAAATGCTTTCACATGGCCACGCGTATATAGCCTCTGCCAGGGAAGTCCTACTCACTGCCTTCTCGTGGTGGGGGTGTTGTTTACAAAAATGAGAGGATGAAAAGCGAACGTCCGGCGCTTTAACCGGGTTGGAAAACCCTGATTCCAAACCAATGGTGCACATGGGCTTCAGTATCCTGAAGGAACAAGTGGCGTATGAACCTATCTTTGGTCACCGGTTACCATGGAACTGCATCCTTACGTTGCTCCACTGCCTTGTGAATCAGACCTTTGGGTCGAAGGCTCCCGGTGTGGTCCCTTTAAAAATCACCTGTTTCAATTTGGGCACCCGGGCAGTATCACAGCCCTCACACAAATCAAATAAGATCTTTGTGGCGCATATGTATTTGGTGCCTCGTTGTATCAACGTCTATGTGTTAAAATAAATAAATAAATAGCTCAACTAATAGCTCAGAGAACAACAATGCTCAGAAAACCGCTTATTTCTAACTAAAACCAACTTCAAGTATAATCAGAGACATTACCTAACTTGCTGACCCAAAAGTGACTCAACAATAGATACAAATATACCATGTTGCAATCAGCTATCTTTGAAGAAGCTCGATAAGACGGGCTTATTTTGGAGCATATATTTGGACTGTGATCGTACTCTAGTGCGACCACGTGTTTGTCTGTTTTGTTGAACGCAAAAAGTTGCAGCAGGAAACCTCTTGGAGTTCGGCTTAGTGATTAGAGAACCAAGAATATTTTCCAGGAACAACTAAAGGGGTTAATCAGACATGAAAGTGATATCCACCCCGAGATAACTTGACACAATGACCAAACACATGAGCAGTGATATCCAACTGTGACTAAAACCACCAGTTTAAGAAAAATCACTGGATCTCTAGCGTCTACTTAACTGATCGGTTCTCGGTCCCATCAAGCTTTGAAAACGATAAGGAGAGGCCGCCTGATCGCAAATCGATGAGGAGGCTACTCAATAATCATGGGCAGTCGTGGATAACAAAAGCTGAATATGTGTTGTCTGCTCTCTCTGTTTTCATTTGACTTCGTCATAGATGTCCGTTAAGACATAATGCTCTCATCGTCTGACTTTTCGGGGGCTGATCTTTCACTAGGAGATTCACTTGTTGACTTAGAGAGCAACATTGTTATAACTTGTGACCGCCGATTAGAGAGCAGTGAATTATCGATCGGATCAAGGACGCGTAAACACGTATGAGTAGCCTAGAGTCCTGATTGATCCTGCTTTCCGCCTAGCCCAGCCAGTTAAGTCCAGAACACCGATCCGAGCCTCTGCGATATAAATCATGTATTTCAAACATACTCGGTTTATATACCAATCAAACAGCCGACAACATGCCATAAAATAATTAATATTTGTAGAAGATTTAGGCAAAAGTTGCTGTGAATGAGGGAGGTGATGAATAATAGACGGAATAATTGAAGAATGGAAAGTCGCATAATAACAGCTTATGATAAAATTGACATGAATATGAATAGTTTAGTTAATTATCAATTATACGACGAAAATATACGTATAGTATTTGTCCACAAACGGATCCCAAAAATTTACCACCCATTATTCTTATCGGAACACAACAAACACCATTTTTGGGATGCGATTATCTCACTTAAAATGCCAAATGTTGCACTCCATTGGGAAATGATGGAGGTATACGATAGGTCACTCGATATGATTTCGATTTATCTACAGCATGAAAACTATCAATAAGATGTGCCAGGATTGAACTGCGTGCTGTTTTTATCTGGCCGTTTATAAACCAAGTTGGTAGATGTTCACTCATTCGTTGGTCAAGTTGCCTGATAGTACGCCCGATATAGCTATCTCAACGGGAGCAGCTGAATTGGTAGATGCACATTGAGGAGACCAACTCAGGTAACTTATCCTTCGTTTGAGTAGACATCGCTGGTCGACAAGAGAAAGTCAACGCAAGATTGGCTGCGTAAAATGTTCTGCTGATTACTTTCATCAACCTATATTTCAGAGTATCGCTAGCCACATCCCCGTTGAATTGTAGTTTCATGTATAAAAGTTTCTTACGAACAGTCGAATTCTCAGACTTCTTTATTATGTCATACATGTACTTCTTAATGAAAGCACTGGGGTAGCCGATCTCGGTCAGTGAGTTGTTAATACATTCAAGCTTCTGACTTAAAGTATCACCTGTACAGATATTTTTCGCTCTTTTTCTGAGACATCTAACCAAATTTCTCTTGTAGCGGATAGGTGTGAAACTGCAGAAGTGGGTATATTGGCAGGTAGAGGGGCTTTTTCTATACACGCTTCTACTTAATGTGCCATCACATCGTCTGCTTAGTGTGACGTCAAGGAAGTTCAGCTTTTTGTCATGCTCGCTTTCACCAGTGAAACTGATCGCTGGGTGAGCACTGTTAAATTGTTCTAGGAGTTTCTCCTTACTGGTGTTTTGATCTGCGATAATGAAAGTGTCGTCAATTTAAATCAAGCTTCTTAATAGTCTCATTAAGAGGTCCATTTTCTAGCTTTGCTAGATAGAGATCAGCTAAAATCGGGCCTAGAGGTGAGCCCATGTTTATCCCGTCTATTTGTCTGTAATAAGTATTGTTGAAGACAAAATGGACATTCAGCGTTCATCTTAAGAGCAGTTCCTTAGACTATCTTCACGCAAGCCAATGTTGATTTGTTTTTCTGATATTTGTTTGCATATAAACTCGATAGTCTCCATAAGTGGTACGTTGGTGAACAAAGATACTACATCCAGTGAGATCATATTTTTCATGCTAACATTCATATTTTCTATTTTGAAGGTGAATTCGAAGACGTCTTTTACACTATTTCTAACAAGTGATTTGTGCAAAGGCTCTAAGATTCGCACTAACCACTTTGCAATTTTGTGGTGCGGAGAGTTGTACATATCGATAACTGGGCGTAGAGGAAGATCCGGTTTATGAACTTTAGGCAAACCGTAAAGTCGTGGTGTATATGATCCAGTCGGCTTAATTGAGTCATGAATCTCAGTCGTAATTATTTCCTTTTTCTTTAGATCCTTAAGGAAATTAGCCACTTGTTTTTCTACTTTATTATTAATATCATAATTACTGGTAACTTTCTGAGATTTGCTAAGATCACCAAGCTTCCATTTTTTCGATGTAATCCTTTTTGTTCATGAGAACTATACCTCCTCCTTTATCTGGTTTGCTTATGATCAGGTTTTCATCTTTTCTTAGTTTCGTTCAAGAGTCTCGGTGTTGCTTGGTTAGTAGGTGATTTGTGATACCCTTAATATTCTTGTATTGTTGGCAGCTATTAACTAACGTGGTCTTAAACCGAGCAAGATCCTCCAATTAGGTAGAAATCAAGTCAGTTGTTTGTGAAAATAAATTCTCAAATTGTACATCAGTATCTAACTGGTTGATACTATGCCTACTATCACAGAATTTAGGCCCCAGAGATTTTTTATTCATTTTTATTTTCTTTATTATTATTATCCTATCATTGACCTTATTTACACATCCATTATTTGTTTGGAATTATCCGCCTCTTTCCGTTTGTATTCTTCACTATCTAATTATTTACACACTTCTTATTACGTAATGATTTTAATGTTTTGTGATGACTACTCCGTTTACCCATGTCTGACCTACTATTGATAAGACTTTTGTTATCGTATTTTATTAGAATATTAAAGATTCCCATTGTGAAAATTAGAACAACACATATAAGCGAACAATTGTTTTCATCAGGCTCTAATACTTAATTATTCTTACCTACTATCAGTAAACCTGTCTTCCTACTATCAACTTGTACTTTTATCTATTATGTGTGATGACTTATTCTATTTTATTTTTCAGTAAATCCGATGACAGCGAAACATCACAGTTCATAGTATTTTACGAATTAGAATCACCAATGGGAATCATTGTTGATTACTTGCAGTTGCCATGTTCCGAATGTTATAGTTACGTTAAACTGATGGCCGTTATAGTAATAACTATTACTGTTGCAACCGTAAAATTTGTTAACGAAACAAAAGCTTTTGTTGCTAAAATGCCTTTTTGCATGCTCTGTTGATTGTCGAATTTACCAGTTGTGTATATTTTTAAAAAAAATGTAGATATACTTTTAAAGTCAATATTTGTTTATAGGCGGAATATGGTGATCTTTGTGAGGAAGAGCTTAGTGATACAGAGGAACTCACATACTTACCACGCCGTATTCTCAGATTAATTCCAGCTCAACTATGGACCCAAATACAGTCCACTCAAGGTGTAACACAAAAGTTTCGGGAACATTATAAATCCCACAAGGGAATGAATCGGTTTGTTTTTAACATCACTTTCCATTTTTAATAATATTACAGCGATAAGGCGGAACTTCAGTATCTCAAGGTAGCCCAGATGCATAACCTTTTTGGGGTGGATTTTTTCCCTATTGTCGTAAGTATCCGTTTTACTAAAATGTTTTATATAAGGCATTTGAAATATCGACTATGTTTAATTCATCTGTGCACAATAATAGGTCGTCACGTTTTATAATTCGATGTTGCAATCGTTCTCTCTAGTGCAAGAAACATTACACATGTTTCTTCAGATAAACATCTGTCACCTGCGGACTCCACTCCGAATGTAAGAGTTCCAACGAGAATGTATTCAACGGCAATTTGTTGAATATTACTTTCACGAAGACAATGTTTTTTTTATTCTATTAATTATAAATAATCATTATCAGTCCGAGATGACCATTAGTTTAGATCCTGCAAACACGAAAAAATCAGGCTGGCTTTAGACCTGGTCGTGGCTGCATCGACCACATCTTCACCATTCGTCGGATTTTAGAATACAGACATGCTTATCGGCATCCGACAATGGTGGTGTTTCTTGACTTAAAAGCACCATTTGACACTGTAGACCTAGAGGTTCTGTGGCTTTGTCTGTCATTGAAAGGTGTTCCTCAGTAGTACATAAACCTTGTGAAGGCTCTTTACTCGAACGCTAGTAGTCGAATCAGAGCTTATGGCGAAATGTCAACTGGTTTTGCAACCTCAAGTAGTGTCCGTCAGAACCATCCAATATCTCTATTTTTGTTAAACTTCATCATAGACATACTGATAGAAATGACGTTCTCGTCGACTGAATTTTCGGGCATTGGTCTCCTACCAGGAGGTTCACTTATCGACTTAGAATACGCAGATGACATAGTCCTGTTTGATGAAGACGCTGATAAAATGCAATCTTTTGATAGCACTGAGCAACAATGCCAGAATGTTTGGGATTCATTTCTCCACTTCTAAATGCAAGTTGTTGCTTCAGGACTAGCCTGCGTCAACACCTAAACTAAGGACAGGTAGTAAAGTAGTCGAACGCGTCGACAACTTCGCTTATCTTGTAAGTCTGATCAGCCCTAATGGGTTGGTGTCTGACGAAATCTCTGCAAGGATTAAGTAAGCTCGTTTGGTTTTTTTTTCCAACTTACGTCACTTATAGCGAAGGCGAGATATCTGTCTATCGATTAAGGGATGAGTATATTGTGCGGTAGTTTGTTCTGTTCTACTTTACGGCTGCGAAACGTGGCCATTAAGAGTAGAAGATACTCGTAAGTTACTATTATTTGATCAAAGATTGCTCGCATCTGCTGGGATTGTCGAGTAAGTAATAGTGAGGTTAAACACGGGGTATTAGGGAATGACGGTTAATCAGTTGATGAGGTTGTAAATCTTCATCGACTGAGATGGTTGGACCACGTGTTGCTTATGCCTGAACACTGATTGCCACGACGCGCAATACTGACTAGTGTTGGAGACGGTTGGAAGAAAGTTACTGGTGGTCAAACCAAAACGTGGCATCAGTGCTTGAAGTCACTAACTTTTGGTCTGAGTCATGTTGGTAGATGCAGACTACTTGGTTGGGTTCCACGTGACTATCGTAACCAATAGTTGGAGACTCGGGGTGACAGCTCAGAATCGTTCACAATGGCGTCGGTGTATACACTCTTTGTCTTCCCTTAAACCGTGAGATTCAAATTGCTTTATATCTTTCTTTCTACTAACTAATTTTTTCTTCCTGTACTATATCCTTATACACAATCTTTTTTATACATTACTACCAATGAAGTAACTGGTTCTACAAATTCGGTGTTCATCTTCATGTGCTAATGAGGTCTGTCAACTTGGACCAATGCATATATGGGCCTGGTCCTACGTTGTAGATGTCTGACTGTCAGTTTTCTCAAGGTCTTCATTCTTAAACATATTTTTTGCTTAGTCATTATCATTGTATGACCTATGATCATATACTTTCCTCGTACATGTGCCGTATACTCACATAAACTGTGTTTTAATGCAGCCTATGCGGCATTTTCGCTCATTTTTTAGAACATGGATTCTTTGTCTTGGATACATGTAGTCGAGACTGAAAAATACCGTAATGTTTTTGTAGCCGTTACAAAATTTAGTAAGCCTCGATCACTTGAGTCTAACGCAACTTCCTACATAAGTGAACAGCGCACTCAACTACTATGCTTAGTATGTTTTAGTAAGACAGCGACTCAAACCATTTCTGAATTAATGTTTTATGTTTATAGGAGAGAAATGGGTCTCATACAGTATTGCATTCTTACTCAGGAGATTTAAAGGACTTCATTTCCTCTGAGTTCTTAGCAAATTGAACTGCCATCGGGTACTTTAAGTCGATAACTAAATCTAATATATCAAGTAGAATAAAACATGAGCGAACAATAGTGTTATGTTAGGTCGTCACGAGACTTTACTCCAATATACATGGATATTCATATGAAAATTATTTATTTTAATATAAATATAAATCAATCAAGGCAATTTACAAGCCAATGATCACAATGAAATAGATTGCATGACTTCAAATAACGTAAACAGTAGAATTGGATACTATGAAGACAGGTGTACTAGTAGTAGTGATAAGGAGATCGGTTTTATAGTGACGAACGAAGTCTGCTATTTCTAGAAGCATCTGTGTAATCAGATTAAATAGGTGATCGGCCTCGACCTACAGTACTTATTTAATAAGCTTCCTAAATTCCAACCTAAATGACAGTCGGCAGAGTTGAATTTAACTGTAGCCAGACATCTACAAATGTTTCTCTTTTCAAAATCATAAAGGGAATTATGTGTATGAAATATTTTTACGTTCATCTCTTCAAGTTATTTATAGCTTTTTACTGTTGAGGTTTAATTCTGGTTTCTCATTCAGACTATTTATGAGTATTAGACAACTGAAAAGTATTTGAGCTATAGTTGAGTTAGTCTGTCCGCTATTCTAAACAGTCAAGACTATCGTTTTCGCAGATTATTTCGTAAACACCGAACTTTTAACTTGTCTCTTTTGTTTTGCCTGTCACGTCTGCGGGGTTACTTAAATGACTTTTGCTTGGTACTGAAACCCCGAATCCAATGACGTGTACTAAAAAGCAATGACTAGTGAAAGAATTTATTTGATGCCGGTAATAAGTCAAAATGATATATACATACACTACTTTCGTATAACTTATGTGTTGTCAGATTAACAATCAGATCTGTATAATTTGACTTAGTGTTATTTAACATTGGTTAATCAATAACTTATTATAAACACACGTTTTGAATATCACATATTAATCTTCATTCTGACTTTGTTTTACCTTTTTAATCCTGCCATATCTTAGGTTTGTTGCACCAGTTATCCGACCCTATCACGACTGTCCTTTACATATTCACTTTTGCTGCTCTCCATTAATCCCGATCATTGCGCAGACTTTCGTTAATTTTTATATAAGTTCTCTAATCGTCGTCCCAAATGAGTGTCTGAAAATCACTTAATCCAATTGTGGCTTCCGAAATCAATTGGTCTTAAGCCTTAGTAACAAATGCTCTCAGTTGTATTTTTGATGACTCCAAATCATGACAGCCCACTCCAGGAATAGCATCCAATAGATAGTTTTATCATTGAGCTTCACATAACCGAAGCGAGCTTGACGAGGTCCTTTCGTAGCATTTTTTTCCCGCTTTCAGTTACTTATAAAGGCATACTCGTCCTAAAGTGTTGTCGGAGTCTACTGATGTACCTCATAAGGATCAGCAATCTACTATCAATCTTCACCAACGGCACCCGTCGCTATAATGATGCTGGGCGTCACTGGGTTCGAGAGTGTCTATCCGTATATTTCAGCTTCCTAACCACCATTGCAACAGATAACGTTACCTTTTCGCTTGATTGGTATGGTAATTGCCCCATCTAAGTATCTTTCAGCTTAACTTAGCCCACTTTTCTTGAGGCTAGGATTACCAACTACATATCAGAAGTCTACTGATAGAATTTCTTTTGCTTCTGAGCTGCAGTCAGTGTATGTGTAAGCAGAAACGACGAAGAGCCAATGAGATGTATTGATTTTTTCCTGAGTTCTTTTATTCGAACATTACTCAAGTGATTGTCAGTAGAAGTCTAATCATACCGTGCCTTCGAGCTTATTCATATACTTGCACACGTAAGACCACGAGGTGCTTCTGCAGTCTTCAGATATGCAAATGTTGAATCATATTGATTCTAAATATGGTCAAACGAATGATCATACTAAGTTCCTGTGTAATTATTTCACATACATTGCAAACGTCGATGAGATGAGACAGAGGTACTATATGAACATCGAAATCTTCAACATGTGGTGTGGGGCTCAGTCGCACAAGATCGGGGGTAACATTCAGTCAGATCTGATTGTTGGAACTAATGTGAGAAAAGATAGAGTTGATACTGGAAGTTGGGCGAATATTAGAAAGCTGTAAAACAATCTGAAGACCGATAATTAAAAAAAATTATTACATCACTCTCTTGTCTAAATTAGACTAGTTAAGAAGTCTCCATCTTCCCCATTTGACCCAAAGTTAGAGACGTTATTCTCGAAATCCTGGGATTATTGATATAGTAAACGTTCCTATATCTCATGAACTTCAGTTACTTTCATGTTTTTTTTTCAGTATGTTCGGATGAAGTTTCCTCGAACTTTAAGCTCGACGCAGAACGAATCAACTCTTTGGGACAACACTGTAAGCTATTTCATTGAATAATGTTATGTTAGTACATAATTTAAGGTGTCATAAAATAAACACAAAAGATACAATCTGATGGATCGTATTATAGCTGTTGATTTGCAAGTCTGAAAATGCATCTTAGTGATCTGTTTTCATTCATTTTTTAATTGTGTTACATCGTTCTCTGGAGTTTTTAGTTTTATGTTTCATAGTAGTTGACAATAGTTAATTAGACTCATTTGCAGACCTTTCTGTTGTTTAATTTCAACCATCCAGCATCAGGATACTATTTATTATAGTCTCAAACCATTTAGCCCACTGCGTTGTTTCTGTCTGTGACAAATAAAATCAATTTAATTTCTCAAGTATTTTATTTACCATCTTTGGCTGGTTTTATACAGATATACATTGAGTTTAGGTTCATTGCTAAATTATATAAACAATACCCAAAGCTTCAGTCTCGCCTAAATATAAACATATGTGGTTGTAGTGAATGTAGTTTCATTAATATCGTGGTCAGGATGGAACTGGAATACTTGGAAGTAAGACTAACACTAATCTGTCACGTTGAGCCAGCCCCACAGCTAAATTTTCACATCCCCGCACAATTTATCAACAATAATTGACTTCTGAAATCCCTTTACATATATCACCATAAAACTAGAGATGCACCATTTGGAATCCTCTTGTGAACTAATCATTTACATTTATATCAACGGTCGCCTAAAGGGTTTGTGTCTGCTCATATATCTAGATATTTTTGGGGATGGGTTTTGGTAGCTGAGTGGTTAAGGTGCTCGACTTCTAACTATTAAGTCCGATGTATGGACCTCACCCTAATTACTGCAGTTTGAGCGATCGGGTAGTTTCACTAACCCTCACACTTAGAGTGTAGCCCATGCTCAATTACCTGCTGAATTTTTTACTCAATCTATATATTTTAGGACCCCATTATGTGCGTCATATGTTTTCACAGATGATGTTCAGCTTGTTTCGAAAAGGTGTTTGAGTATTTCGTCTATCGACTTTATTTAACGAAGTAGTAAGGGCTAAGTATACCAACAGTCAAATAGAAAAGTCATACCAATAAGTACCTTATTACAATCATTTTGGGTTCTCTTTGGCAGATAAGTTGCGGCTCATCCAAAGTGCTGTGGTAGATTATTGCTATTTTTGGGATAAATTACCAAGTTAATATTTATAATCCATGTACTGATGGTGGCTACATATATAGGATGATATCTTGTTTGCTCTCATTCTTTCTACCAGAATCAGTGTCACGCAAATGCTTGGCTTGGCGTTACAGCTGCAGGTCTTCAACTGTATGGAAAGTGTCAACGTGATCCACCTCAATTTACATTTCCTTGGAATATGATAAAAAATGTTTCATATCGCGAACGCAAAGTGAGCTGTTTTTTTTTACTTAATTGTGTCGCCCAATCAACTTCACAACATTTCCACTATATTCTGCTCTATAGAATTCCGTTCTTTGTAGGTCATTCACATCTTACTCGTAATTACTGAAAAAACAACAACCATTTTTAACCTCACAATATGCTATAAATAGTATATTTTAATTTGGTTGTCAGGCATTTATCCCAATAATCTTGCCATGTTATCTAGAAAACTCAGTAAGATGTTTTTTGGATCTAAATAGTGTTATTTATAGCTTAGACTCACTAAATGATTGGTGGCTGTCATGAACCTACTTTCGTACATTTTCATTTCCGAGTACCTCATAAATCAAATAGCTTAAAATTTCAGAATTAATGGCTGCTTTTCATACTTGCATCCGTTTTTGGCGAAAATTTCCACGGATTAAATATAACCTATTCCAATTTACCATTATTATAGTACATTTCCTACCATTCAATCAGATTTGTTACTGTTTGTATCATCTCATTCTGCCAAATATTGAGCATTTCGTTATCGGACACATTTATCTTTTATTTTGCAAACGGATCGCTAGCTCTGAAGTGAAGTGATTACTGTGGTTTAAAAATGATGCTTTCAAGCAACAGGTTTCCAAAACCACCCCACCTCATCTGTTTGGGGGACTATGTAATCTCATTAGCCCTCACACACATAAAATATAAAATTCAATTAAACAAAAACCGGTCGACAAATCCGAAATATTTTATGATAATCTGTTGTTTCGATTCATTTCATAGCTTTTGTATTATGGTTTCCCATTGGTTGACTATTCATCTTAAAAACTAAGTGCGAGTAAAACCTATTTTTCCTCAAACTTTTACATCTATAGATTGTACAAAACAACTTGTACATTACTTAATTACTTACACCTGTGACTCCTAATGGAACATAGGCCGCGACCAGCACTCTCCAACTCACTCTGTCCTGGGCCTTCTTTTCTAGTTCCATCCAATTCTTGTTCATTTTTCTCATGTCTATCTCCATTTCCCGGCGTAATGTGTATTTGGTCTTCCTCTCCTCCTTCGACCTTGAGGATTCCATGTGAGGGCTTGTCTTATGGCGCAGTTCGGTGCTTTCCTCAATGTGTGTCCTATCCACTTCCAGCGCTTCTTCCTGATTTCTTCCTCCACTGGGATCTGATTTGTTCTCTGGCACAGTAGGTTGTTGCTAACAGTGTCCGGCCAACGGATCTGAAGTATTTTGCGTAGACAACTGTTAATAAACACCTGCATCGTCTGGATAATGACTTTCGTATTTTTCCAGGTTTCGGCTCCATACAGTAAAACTTTCTTAACATTTGTGTTGAAAATTCTAACTTTGGTGTTGGTTGCCAATTGTTTTGAGTTCTAAATTGTGACGACGGACCACGGGTGAACTCGAGGAAGCTATAAGAAGCTCAGAAGGAGCCGAAGATATTCCATCCAATCACCGTTAGGAAGGATATTCTAGAATCCCTACGTGTAGCTTCTCGATTGGACAAGGCTAATAACCCCCTGTATGCGGATTTGAGGACTATAATGATGATTT